TTCTTATTTTTTTTCAATACTGATAGGCTGAAGATTTTCTGAATTTTATGATCTGTTTTCATTTTGCTTAACAATTCCTTATTTGATTTATCCATTTCCCTCTCACATCTTACTATAACAGAAAAGAGAAATCAAGATGTGCCTTAAACAGTTTACCTAGAATCTTCTCAGATAAATATCCAAGTTCATTGCTTACAAATTTTACTTTCCACCCAACAGACAGAATTCAGACAAGCTCTTTGCAATTTTATAACAAAGATCACCTTTCCTCCAGTTTCCAATATGTTCTTCATTTCCATCTGAGACCTCACTAGAAGCACCTTTAACATTCATATTTCTGTTGACATTCTGTTCATGACAATATATGTGTATATCTAAGATGAGAGAAGCTTTCTCTGTAGTTCTTCCCTTTTCTTTCTGAGCCTTCACCAGAATCACCTTTAATATCCATATTTCTACCAACAATCTCTTCAAGGTAATCTAAGTTTTTTCTATCATACACCTCAAAACTCTTGCATCCTCTACCCATTACCTAATTCCAAAGTCATTTACACATTTTAAAATATTTGTTACAGCAGTGATCCACTTCCCAGTGGTAGGGGTACCATTACAAACTACCCACAAATTGGGTGGCTTCGATAACAAAAAATTATACTCAGCGGGCTAGAAGTCGGGGACCACGGTGTTGACAAGGTTGGTTCCTTCTGAGAACTAGAGGGAAAATCAATTCCATGCCTCTGCCCGAGCTCCTTGTGGGTTGCTATTTTTGACATTCCTTGGCTTCTATATGCATCACCCCAATCTCTGCCTTCAATTTCGCATGTCATTTTCCCAGTGTGTGTGGGTGCTCCAATTTTCTGTTTTTATAAGGACAATATTTATATTGAATTAAGGCCCACTCTAATGACCTCATTTTCATTTATCTCTGTAAAGTTCCTATTTCCAAATAAGATCACATTCTGTGATACTGAGGGTTAGGATTTCAACTTATCTGTTTCAGAGGGGCACAATTCAACCCGTAACCCTCCCATCATAGTGTTAGGGATTATGGAGATCGCAGTTAGTTGTGCACCAAATCCAAAAGGCCCAAGAAATGCAGTGCTCCTCTATATCCCTATTGAACTTTTACCTTATATAACAAGGTAAAAGAAAAGAACAACCACTGTTCTTCATAGGGACATAGGGACGTTGGCCTAATCCCTAGTCTTGTTTAGTTTTGAAAGCTGAGACATCAGTTAGGAGTTGAATGAGAGTCTCCAGTTCTCCTCCAGCTTCACTGGGAGGAACAGAAGGAATAGCGCTTTATTAATCAGGATCCATTACTTTGTAGACCCTAGCAGACCACCCTCTAGGGCCCCATGGCTCACTACCTTGCCATGAGTTCCTTGATGGGAGAGCCCATCAGTTTCCTCTTTGAGAACCCACACGTAAGTAACCAGAACCAGCAATCTTGTTGTGAAAGTGCTTGCCCAGATGGTCCTGGAGAGAGCGTGTGATTACCAGTTTTACATCACTCTTTCTGCCAGCTAGTTGTTGCTATCTGTGCAGCAGCTCCTTTTTCAATTCTGATGATTTGTCATCAGTGAATATCTGGATTGTGTCACAGACTGATCAGCATGGCCTTATGAGGAGGTTTAATTGAGTTCAATAACCAGTAGGAGTAAAACAAATGAACCTAAAAAACTGAGTCTCGTTAACAGTCTCATCTACCACCAGGGTGGCTCACAGGGAAGCTGTATACATTGGAAGAATAGTCCAACTATGTTTTTTAAAGTCAAGGAACTTACCGTGTTGGACCAAATCTTTCTAAGCTCAAGTAATATCCAGCTGAGGATGTAGATGGTTTTGGATGCTTGCAGGCTTTCATCCCAGTCCTCTCTTCCTCCTCCTCTTTAGGCAAAGTGGCTGCTAATAGTATACTCTGAAAGTGGGGATCTATAATGATACACCCCACAAGATGACACTCTCACTAAGTTTTCCTTCTACATCATGGAGGTGAAAAACCCAAGTCTCTAAGATCACTTCAGATAGATGGGTGAAGTAACTCCAAAGGGTTCTACATTCTTTTGCATTTTAGGCATGAGTCTCAATAATTTGTTGCATCACAGGCTGTCTTTCAGTGTCAGAGACATGCTTAGAGCTAACACTGGTAACTGGGTGCAGCTCAGCAACTCAGGGTCTCTGATGACTTTTATTGCCATTGCCTCTCAGATTGTATTACGAGGTAGGGATTGCTTCCCGAGCTTTCCTAGAGTTCCTCTTTGGGATTTATAATTTAACCCACCAAGCAAGCTCAGCCAGGGAATTGGAAGCTAAAGGGAAGGATCATTAGTTCTCCCTGAGACCTGAAAAGCTTATATAAACAATCACTAGCATTCCCCCAAAGCAACCCCAGGGCCCACAAAATACTTCCTGAGACACATTGTCATGGCTGGCGAAGTGCTCTAATGGGACTCCCAGACTCTTGCAAAGGATTCATTACCATCATCCATGAGTGTCCCATGCATTTCTCTAACATCTCCCAAAAAATCTCCATGGGATCCTCAGGATTCTTTTCCTTTCTAGAAAGGCAACATATTTACTGGTCAACTCTGCTCACTGCACCACTTTGTCAGTGATAGAGCTGCCGGTTATTGAGTTAGTCAATTAATATAACAAGTCAAACCGAAAGGAATAATTAAGCCTTTTTTCAGATACTGTGATAATATAAGCAAGAGTCTACGCAGGAAAGGGCCCAACTTTAGCAGAATTCCATTTTTCCCCATTAAAGGAACCAGGTGAGTGGCAGATGTTTCATTTAAAAATGGGGGGATCATTTCATTGCCACAGGAACCCCAAATAAAAAGCTCTTGCCATTATATAGATGTGGCATGTGGAGAAGACCAGGCGTGGAAAAGTACTGAACACTGTCAGAAGAAAGTTGTCTTCAAGGCTCCCCAGTAAGGTCATCTAAGCAGAGTCCCCTGAATAATACAGTGCCTTAGTTGAGCTCTCTACTCCCTCACAAGAAGGACTCCAAATGGAGGGTTCCTGAGCTAGGTGTGCAGAGATGAGTAAGAGCATGGTTGGTCTGGAGAGATCTGAACCCATACCTGCACATCCGTACAGAGACCACAGTGCACTGGCTCTATGTTACATCCAGTGTGGGGCGGAAAGCTGTCTTCCAGGATAACTGCCAGATAATACCTTTGTACTTGTCTATGGGTGTGCCTGAAAGATCACACACAAGATTTTAACTTGAACCCATACTCCTTAGAATACACATATATATTTATGTGTATATATCTACTTACACGTACATACACATGTTTATGTGTATATATTTATACATAAGCATGCACGGGCACATATGCATGCATGTGTACATGAATACACATATTTTGGAAATCATGAGATCTCTTGGACACCTTTAATTTTAGTGTCTCAGGGCTTATTCTTGACTTCCTTCATTTTGTATGTGTGTGTCCTTTCTTTTGTATTTTGAATCCTGACTCTCAAAGCACCAACCGATTTATGCATTTGCTCTATCCTGTAATACTTTGAAACTTTCAGAATTGCTTAGCATACACTACTACAAAAACAAACATACTAAAAGAATTTCATGATTTGTTTGCAGTCTGCCCCCAACACTCTTGCCCAAGACTGAGGGTATGTTTCGAATACTGTATTTATTAGTTACATGAATTAGTACTTGTTTTTTGTTCCATGTAGTAGGTTCATTTTATTAAGTTTCCTTTCAGTTTTAGTTCCTGCTTCTTATCCTTACTGAATTAATTTTATTTTTAGAATATTGCGTTCATGCATTTTGCATTGCTGTAAAGGAATACCTGAGGCTAGGTAATTTATAAAGAAAAGAGGCTTATTTGGCTTATCGTTATGCAGGCTGTACAAGCATAGTACCAACATCTGTTCAACATCTGATGAGGCTTCAGGAAGATTTTAGCTATGGTGGAAGGGAAGGGCATGTCACATGGCAAGAGAAGCAAGAGAGAGATGGGGGACATCCCAAAATCTTCATCAACAACCAGATCTTATGTGAACTCCTTACCATAGAGAGGGCACCAAGCCATTTGTGAAGGATCTGCCCCCATGACCCAAACACCTCCCACCAGGCAATACCTCCAACCTTAGAAATCACATTTCAATATGAGATTTGGAGGGGACACACGTCCAAACCATATCAAATATGTAGAACATTATCCTATCTCCAAAAGTAAATATTATACAGAAGATATTCTTAGAAGAATATAATTTCTGCCACAGTCCTTCTCTTTGTATTCCCTTCCTTTTTCCTACCCTGTTGTCTTGTAGATAACCAGCTACAGTGTTTGCTTCCTTATTTTACCTGTGTCTCATTTTGAAAAGGTTAATATTTCTCTATTTCTATTTTTTTCTGATTGGTTATTTCTGACCCAAAAGTTACCATCCCAGATATCCTGTTTTTAAGATTATTTTTCACTTAACATTATCTTCTAGAAATCCCTCCATGTTAGTTTATAGAAACCTTTATTATTTTTACATAATATGTATAGTATTATGTATAGTGATATGTAGAGTATTTATAGCATATTATAATTTACAGTATATATCTTTGTTTATTGAGTCAATATATTATACTTGAATATTTAGGTGTGTTGAATATTTTGCAATTACAAATAATATGGTAATGAATAATGTGCATACAAATTTTTATTGTTTGGCCAATTATTATTATTAACCTACAGTGTAAATAACCCATGAATTCTGAAGACCAATAGAAAATATACTTGATGCCTTAGAATATTTATGATATAATGAGACAGCTTTTGTAACACCCATTAAAACTATTTTCATCATTTTAATGTCAGATTTCAATTATGGTGATTTACTTATAATTTTATAAAAATGAGAAAAAATATTGCTGTATATTTGTTATAAACTTCAAATATAGAGATTTCACAATAGATTCGTTTTTTCATTTTGCGGACTAAATACATCTCTCTATGTGGCTCATTTTGTAGTACCAGATAAAAATTCTATGTTTGTTCATCAAGATTCAGTGTCAAAACTCCAAATGCAAGAAAAGACAAAAGTAACTCCTGGAAGGGAAAGGCGTAATAGTAAGTGTAGTAATTATAGATAACTTTAAATTATTTTAAAATTGAACTTATCAGAAGATCTTTTTCTTTGTTTCCTGAATGTGTATTTTAGTATATATTTTAAGGAAATTGTAGACTTTGCCTGAAGTATGAACACCTTAAGGTAAGTAGAGAGCAAAAATGAAAATGTTAACTTCATGTTGGAGTTTCTGGTCATAAGATTATTTCACAGCCATTGGACAAGCACTCAATATCTATCAAGGCCCAATAATTGGCCTACAGTATCTCAAAGAGTGTACCTTTCAGCTGACTCTGGGAGATTACAGTTTCCTGGAGATTATACCCAATGATCACTTATCACATGTAGCGATGATGTTCTTCTCTAGCCTTCAGTCAACAAACTGAGAGGTTGTTGAGATCTGTAACTCAAACAGCAAGTGGGAATTACAGGAGCCAAGGAGAAGGATAGTCCTGAAGGCTCGTTGGTTAGCCCTAGGGCATTTTGTTGGTTGAGCGCCACACAAATGTAAGGTCTTCTTGGTACTCTCATAGATGGGTGGCCATCCCAAGTTTCTTGTGTGGTGGGGAGTGTTAAAGTGTCCATGACCAACAATGATTGAGCTTCCTTTTCATTTTAGGGGATTGAGAGGACCAAAAGATAGGCAGTCATCTCCTCTGGAATGCGATGTGCTCCTTCCCAGATTACAACACAAGGATTTCACTTTAGTGCTAAGTTTTTGTATATATTAATGGCCCAGCCAGTCTTTATTCGTTGGTGCCTGTGTCTGGACCCACCAGGAAAATGCTTTCAATATAGTAGAAAGCTAGTGTACCCTCCAAGAGCAGAAATTTTTCCAGGTTACGCCCTATCCATGGATGATAGATAGTTGGGGATTTTGGGTAGTCTTGTCGAAGGACATTAGTGATATATTGCAATCTACTCCACATAAGAATACACTGATCCTTATCATTGGTGTGGACAGGGATGCTGAAAAAGGAATTTTGTATGTCAGTTGTTGTATACTAAGTTCTTTTCTCTCAGGCAGTAGCGTCTATGACAGTCACAAAGTCAGGTACTGCCAGTACCCAGGGCTGCACTGTGGCATTGAGCAGCCAATAATGCATTGAGGCTGTGTGCATCTGAGGTCATGTGCACAGGTCAGATGGAGCTGTTTAATGGAGGATTAGTCTCACAGAAAACTTTGTCATCCTTAAGTACAGCAGTGAAGGCATTTATTTCCTTTTTTACCCCAAGCAATCAGTATTGTTTTTGAGAAACAACAGCACAAGGTAGTCGGGTAGGTTCATGGCCTTTCACATGCCCCACTAAAATGACCCTACTGAGCAATTTTCTTCAGTGCTTGTGGGCAAAGGTGAGCAGGTGTTCACTTAGTGATACATTTATAACAAAATATATTGTGTAGTGTGCACTATAACAGTAGAATTTGTAATTGGCCAAAGAGACCCACCCAAAGTTGGGTCTAGATAAAGTCCCCATTGGTGGTGACCTCAGACTTCAAACTAGAGAGAATTATCAGTTTCCCCTTCATTCTGATGCTGGAGTATATATTCATAGTCACTTATATACCAGTATCCAAAGGCCCAAGAAATATAATTGTCCACACCTTCCCATTTAACTCTGAACCGGGTCCCCACTGGGGATTTGGGACTTAGCCTAACCCCTGATCTTGTTCATTGTTGGAAGATGAGAGTTCTCAGTAAAAATTAGAGGGGCTCATCAATTCATCTCCAAATTCACAGGGAAGGGTAGAGGGAGTAATATTTTATTAATCATAGAGTCCTCAATGTGCTGACCCTAGTAGGGCCCATCAACTTCATTGTTTAGTAGCCCGATCTGGAGATTGTCTCTACATGCATCATTCAGGAGAGGGCGCTTGATTGCCATTTTATTAGGTTGGTGCAAAAGCAATTGCGGTTTTTGCCATTAAATTACTTTTGCATCAACCTAATACATCACTTTCCTGCTGGCCAGTCTTTTCTACCTCAGGAACTGCTGCTTTTCCCATGCCTGAAAATTTTTCAGTTAAGTTCTGGATTTTGTCACAGAACATATGACCTGACCTTATGCAGGAGTTTCATTGAATTGGAAACTCAGCAAGAGTGGCATGAAAGAACCTAGAAATCTGAGTCTGGTCAACCACCTCCTCTATTGTTCTTACTCTTGATTGTAGAACCAAAGGACTACCGGCGTTGTGATTCACAGGGCTGCTCTAGCCTCTGCAAGGGTGGGCCAAACATGATTTTAGTGGTAGGTTCATCATGGGTATGCCCAAGTGATCAGAGCCCAAGCAATTACTAAGCTGAGGAATGAGAGGGTCTTGAAGTTGGCATCTCATATACCCCCTTTCTTTCTCCTCCTTGAGTGAAGCTTCTCTGTCCTGATACTCTGAAGGAGGGGATCTGTAGTGACTCATTCCACAAGGTACCACTTTTTCTCATTAAGTTTAAGAAGAGTACATAATGTTCTAAGGTGCCTTCGGTAGACAGGTAAAGTGATCTCAAAAGGTTCTACATTAAAAAAAAATCCTTTACAATTTAACCATGAGTCTCAATACTTTGCTGGGACATAGCTGTCTATCATTGCCTGGTAGCTGTTTAGAACTAACAGCAGTCCTTGGGTGCGAATTAGCTCACAGGTTCTCTGGAAACTCTCAGCCCCATCTCCATATAATTATATACTGTAATTATACCATTGTTTGTGGTATATATATCTGTTCATTTGACCAATCTCCTATGTGTGAAAATCTTAATGGTTTTGAATACTTTGCAATTACAAATAATGCTATAATGAATGAGCTTATGCATGTGCATTTTCATTGTTTGACCTATGATTATATATTAAGCTAAAGTATAAATCATCATGTATTATGTAAGTATTTTGATTATGTATTAAAGTGTAAACTTATGAATCCTGGAGACCAATATAAACTTTATTTGATGCTTCAGAATATTTATGAAATAATGAGTTAGCTTCCATAACAGCCATTAAAACTATTCTATTTTTGTGTCAGATATAGCATTATGGTAATTTACTTATAACTTTATAAAAATAAGAGAAATGTACATGTTATACATTCATAGATTTATTTTTCCATTTGGTGGACTAAATGCATCTCTTGATATAGCTCATATTGTAGCACCAAATGAAAATGTGGTTTCTGTTCATCAAGATTCAAAGTCAAAACTCCAAATGCAAGAAAAGAAACAAATAAATCCTGGAGTGGAAAAGCACAAAAGTAAGTATAATAATTATTGATAACTTTTAATTATTTTATATTGAACTCATCAGATCTTTTCCTTTGATTCACCAATGTGTACTTCAGACTATATTTTATCAACTTTTGACTTTGACCTAATGTGTGAATACCCTACGATAACTAGAGAACAAAAGTAATGATACTTTTTGGTTGGTATTTGAATGGTCATTAATTACTAAGTAGTATCACTGCCTCCTCACATGCTCATGAAAACTATTCATATGATTTTCTCATTTGACTCCCATGGGTGGAAAGTCTGATGATTACTTGGCATATCCAGAAGTTCTATTGCACATCTATCTTTTTTCTATTTAGCATTTCCTTTTGAAATCCAAAAAAAGGATATATCACTTGAGCATCTGTTGCCTGAGGAGAAAGTTTTATTATCAAGAAGAGAATCTCAAAGCAAGAAACTTCAAGCTAAAGTAACTTCAAGAAAAAGTAAGTAATTATTTATAAATCTTATCAATTATTTTTATTAAATTCAGGAGAAATTTGTTCTTGGTTCATAAATATGCCTTCAACCATATGCTTCTTTTGCTACTTATTTCCATCACATTACTAGATCTTTATTGATGACTTGTTTCTTTTACAATTACTGAGTTACCTGTGTCAAATCTGCCACTTTGTGGATTTCTCTTTCTTCTTGTATTAGTATCAGGTTTTGCTTTGTATCTTATAATGCTCTATTTTTTTGTGTGTGCAAGTAAACTTAAATTTATATTCTTCAAAGACAGAACAGTTTTTTCCTTATGAAAGGATTCACTTTACCATTTTCATAATTTTTGTTTGTTTTCTTTAATAACTACTTTATCTGTTGTTATGGCTCCACAAACTTTCTTCCAGTTGGTATTTGCTTGATACATTTTTTCATCCTATTAACTTCTTTGTTTCTTTGTGATTTTGCTATGTCTATTGTAAGAAACATAATTGTGTATACTCTTTTTAAAATCAGCTTGAATTTTAAGTTCTGGGGTACATGTCCAGGATGTGCAGGTTTGTTACATAGGTAAATGTGTGCCATTGTGATTTGCTGCACAGATCAACCCAACATCCAGGTATTAAGCCTAGCACCTGTTAGCTGTTCTTCCTGATGCTGCCCCTACTCCTGCCCCCTACTCCAGACAGGCCTCAGTGTGTGTTGTCCCTGACGTGTCCATATGTCTCGTTGTTCAACTGCAACTTACAAGAGAGAGTATGTGATGTTTGGTATATGCTCATATTTAGTCTGATATTTTTTCTTTTAATTATCTCTTATAAACATACATAATCTAATTATTGATTTTTTAGGTGCAATTATATCATTTTTCTTGGCTTCTCCTATTTTTCCTACATGGTATGTTTCTTTCACTCTCTTACTACTCTATTTTTTATCATTATACATTTTTCCTTAGCAATATTTGGTACCAAAAATTTTAAACTCTACCTAAAGTATGAATATAATAAGAAAAGGAAAAATTTTAAATATACAAATATTTATAATAATGTTTATAGTAGTAAATAAAATAATGTTTACAAATAAAATATATTTAATACCCATGTATATAAAAATTAACAGAACAGCTTTTGGCACAAGTAAAAATGTATTTTTATGCTTATATTTTAACTAGACACTGATGTGCTTATATCATTAAAAAAAGACAAAATATCATTCAGTAATTAATATATATTGTGAATCTAGAGTTTGCACCATAGATTCAGTTCTCTAGTGCTTTTAAGAGCCTTCCTTCTTGTAGTCCAGAAAAAGATGAGGTATCAGATGAAAATCTTTTGCCTGCAACTGGAGCTGCTAGAAAGAAGAGATTCCATAGTAAATATGGAAATAATTAATATTATTAAATTATTTCTTATTACATTAATGAAATTTTAATTAAGCAGAATTTTGTCCATGGATATGTATTCTGCTACAATGTTATAGGCATCCACTGAACTCACTTTTTGTTGTGTTATTTAAATTTATTTCTAGATTTCCTTGGATCTTGATTATTCTATCAATTATTGAGAGATGTATATTAAATTATCCCACTATGTGGGTTTACCTATTTCTTCTTACAGTACTGTCCATTTTCCTTATACTGTCTACATTATTAGATGTATACAAGTAAAAAGTTAGGTTTTCCTTATGAACTCAACCTTTTATTTTTATGAAAGGGATCATCTTAGTCTCCAGTAAGGTCTTTTGACTAAAAGTCTATTTTGTCTGACATTGACATAATTACTACAGAGTAATTTTGGTTAATGTTTGCATTTTTTTCAGTCATATCTCTAATAAAGAACTTATAGTTAAATTGTTTATCAGTTCAATGTGTGTCTTTGTTTTTAGAATATGTAAAATATGTAATCCATTTACAATTATTGTACTTACTGATATATTTGGATTTAAATATTTTGGGTGGGGGTGTTTTTCAATTTTTTTTGTTTGATTCAGATTACTTTCTATTTTCTTTCTTTCTTTATTTTGGAATTACTTTTAATCAGTTTAATTATTCAGTGTGTCACCTATGTCATAAAAAAACTTTTAAAAATGTGAGTACACTTAGTAAAATAAAGTCTAATTTCAACTTTCTAAGTGTATGTATGAAGTAACAAGAGTGCCTCCACATACGTTCAGGAAGAGTACTCTGATGGGTTTTGCATTTACCTTCATGATTCATTTTGAAAATGCATCAGAGGTTTTATTGTGTGACATTTATTTAAATTGTATTGACTAGTGTAAAGTCTTATAAAACTGATAGGGCCAGGCACAGTGGCTCACACCTGTAATCCCAGCACTTTGGGAAGCTGAGGCAGATGGATCACGAGGTCAGGAAATTGAGACCATCCTGGCTAACACGGTGAAACCTCGTCTCTACTAAAAATACAAAAATTAGCTGGGCGTGGTGACAAGCGCCTGTAGTCCGGGCAACTCAGGAGGCTGAGGCAGGAGAATTCCTCAAACCCGTGAAGTGGATGTTGCAATGAGCTGAATCGACTCCTGCACTCCAGCCTGGGCGACAGTGAGACTCTGTCTCAAAAAAAGAGAACAAAACAAAACTGATAGGAAACTTTGAATGGTTCTTTCTATATATTAATAATTCAGAGACTTTACAGTAAAGTCTTTTTCACTTTTTATTGGGTTAAAAGCCTTTCTTTATGCAACTGAGAAGATGGATGAAATAGTAGATGAAAATCTTCCACCTGAAATAAAGTTTTAATTTTAAAAAGCCCATCTCAAATTACAAAACTTAGTACTGGCAGAAAAGTGAGACTTCAAAGTAAATACAATCATTAAGAATATTGTGTAATGATTTTAGTTAAAATTCTCTCCTTTGTTTATATGTTCAATCATAAATATGATTTTTACATGTCATGTATACATATATGTGTATATATAGAAAACATGTATGTGTATATATGTATATTCTCCATTGTTGTTGATTAATTATATTTTTCATGTGTTCTGAACTTCATTGAGTTTCTGTTTATTTTATCATTTATGAGAAAGGTATTTTAAATTCTACTATGATTACTTATTTCTCTATCTCTTTGTAGTTCTGCCAATTTTTGTTCTGTTTCTAAAGTTTCTTTATTATATACATAGACATTTTAAATTGTTAAATTTTCTTAAGAGTGCCGAAACTATTATCTTTATGGTGGACATTTTTAAAAATAAACTTAATTTTTGGATCATTCTTATGTTCACAGTAGAGAGGAAGATAGAGATTTCTCATATACCACCTTCCCCCACCTACATGTAGCCTCACCCACGATATGATGGACATTTTGTAGTAACTTTCTTTGCCATTGATCTGTCAGGTATTAACATAGCATCTTTTTAATATAAGCATTTGCAGAACACAGTTTTTCATCATTATACTTTCAACCTTTTTGTATTATTATAGCTTAGCTGTATTATATGTGTTAAATGTATTCTAGTTATTTTTTAAATCCAATGTGGTAATCTTTGAATTGAAAATATAACATTTAACACATTCATATTTAATGTAAGTACTGATATTTTGTGGCTTAATATACTATCACTTATGTTTTCTGTATTTCTTACCTGATCTGTTTTTGAATCTCCTTTTAAAGTTTATTTTTAATATGTTTTTATCATTTTTATTACCCATATCTGTTATAAAAATTTAACTTTATTATAAAATATGAATGCCTTATGAAACCATTTTCTTGAAAAGTTCTGTATTTTTACAGTTTACATACTCAGCCTATAACTCACTGTCTCAACAACATGGTATTTGATTATATTATTTCAAAACATGAGAGGAAATATTGAGGGATAATTGATATGTATTTTGAATCACAGAGGTTTTTTTTGATCAATTTGTTTCTCTATTTAATGGATTAAAAGCATCTTTTTTGTAGCTCAGAAAATGGAAGAGGTATTAGATGAAGATTTTTTACCTGAGGATAAAGTTGCATTTTCAAAAAGGAAATCTCCAGCTAAGATATTTGGAGCTATCAAAATGGAAACACTAAATAGTATGATAATTTTCAGTAGCATTGATTTATTTTTAATTAGAGTGAGCTGAAGAATTTTGTTCTTAGCTTTGTGACTGTTTAGTCAGTATGTCTTTTGTATACATCTATTAGATCAAATATGTTTATTGTTCTGTTCAGTCCTTACTTTTTTCATTGAAGTTTTTCTGTTTGTTCTGTATTACCAAGAGATGTATGTTAATTTCTCCCACTGTGATTATGGATTTCTCTATGCCTTATGGTAGTTCTGTCAAATTGGTTTATATATTTGGACACTATCTTATTTATTTATTGTGTACAAATTTATACTTTTTACCTGGTAAATGGAGACTGTTAATCTCTGAAAATGCATTTTGTTTTATACAAATCAAAACTGTAATGAGATACCATCTCATACTAGTCAGAATGGCTATTATTTAAAAGTCAAAAACAACACATGCTGGTGAGGTTGTGGAGAAAAGGGAACATTTATACACTGTTGGTAGGAGTGTAAATTTGTTCAACCATTGTGCAAAACAGTATGGTGATTCTTCAGAAAGCTAAAAGCAGAACTACCATTCAACACAGCAATCCCATTACTGGGTAAATACCCAGAGGAATATAAATTATTCTACCATAAAGATACATGCACATGAATGTTCACTGCAGCACTATGCACAAAAGCATAGATATGGAATCATCCTAAATGCCCATCAATGACAAATTATCTGGATAAAGAAAATGTGGTACATATACACCATGGAATACTATACAGTCAGAAAACAGGACAAGATCATGTCTTTTGCAGGAACATGGATGTAGCTGGAGGCCCTTATATTTAGCAAACTAATGCAGGAACAGAAAACTAAATACTGCATGTTCTTACTTATAAGTGGGAGCTAAATGATGAGAACTCATGAAGACAAAGGGAACAAAAGACACTGGGGTCTACTTGAGGGTAGAGGGTGAGAGAAGGGAGATGAGCA